GCGGCAAACGGAAAACCGATCGCTACGTATGGCAAAAGGTACGTTTACCTTAACGTGGGTTTACGCAAACCCATCCACTGGATTTTCGTTGTTGCAGATGTTTCTAAGCCGATCATTGGTATGGACCTTCTACAACACCACAATCTGATCATCGACACGCGCAAACGGAGGCTAGTAGACGGAAACACTAATTTGTCCGTTCGCGTGACTTCTTTTACTGGTTGCAGAGTATCCCCAGTCACAGTTAAACATATGATAGACCCACTCTATCAACCACTACTCGATAAGTACCCTGAGATACAACAAACTCAACCGAAACTACCGTGTGTAACCAGCAATGTTACACATCACATCACGACTACAGGACCACCTGTATTCTCTAAAGCACGACGACTAGCTCCCGAAAAGCTAAGGTTAGCGAAAAACGAATTCGATCACATGATGGACTTAGGAATCATACGACCGTCAAGTAGCCCATATGCATCTCCGTTGCACATGGTCCCTAAAAAGGACAGCAACGATTGGCGTCCAACTGGTGACTATCGGCGATTGAACGCGAAAACCATTCCCGATCGTTACCCGTTGCCTCACATTCACGATTTGACAGCTACCTTGAAAGGTACAACTGTCTTTTCGAAAATCGACTTGGTTAAAGCGTATAACCAAATCCCTATGGCTACTGACGACATACCGAAAGCAGCTATCATAACTCCTTTCGGACTCTATGAATTTTTGCGAATGCCTTTCGGTCTAAGGAATGCTGCTCAAACATTCCAAAGATTCATAGACGACGTTTTTCGAGGTCTCAACTTCGTACACGCGTATGTTGATGACTGTCTAATCGCAAGTCCGGACAGAGAAACACATCTCAAGCATCTGGATCTTGTTTTCGAACGACTACAGAAACATGTCATTACTGTAAACGTTCAGAAATGCCAAATTGGAACCGACTCGTTAGACTTCCTAGGACACACTATCGATGCTCAAGGCATTCGACCTCTTAGGACCAAAGTGGCGGCCATTCTGGATTACCCAGAACCGACCACCGTCGAGCAATTACGCACGTTTAACGGCCTCGTAAGCTTCTATAGACGATTCATACCGAAATGCGCATTACTTATGAAACCTCTGACCGACCAACTTCGTGGAAATGCGAAATCCATTAATTTGGACGACACCGCACGAAAAGCATTCTCCACAGTTAAGGAACTGATCGCTAAAGAAACAATGCTCGCAGATCAGGACACCCGAGCACCCATTAGCCTCGCAGTAGACGCATCCGACTCGGCAATCGGAGGAGTCTTACAACAATGGGTTAACAACTCCTGGCAACCCTTGGCATTTTTCTCTAGAAGGTTGCTAGACACCGAATCGAGGTACAGCACATTCGGTAGGGAACTCCTAGCCATGTATTGTGCTGTACGGCATTTCCAACACTACATCGAAGGTCGTGAATTCACTCTTTTCACGGACCATAAGCCGCTCACTTTCTCGTTAAGCTCTCCTTCTGACAAGTACTCTCCCCGTGAGTCTCGACAACTGGACTACATTTCGCAGTTTACTTCAGACATTCAACACATCTCTGGAGCAAACAATTTAGTTGCAGACGCTTTATCTCGCATAACTTCCTTGAACAGTTTCCAAGGAATCGACCTTCTTAAACTCGCCGAGCTTCAAAAAGAAGACAGTGATCTTCAGCACGAGTTATCGTCCACAACGCTTAAACTACGCATCAAACAGATGGGAACAGGTAAGGAAACCTTACTTTGTGACACATCTACAGGTAGGGATCGCCCAATCGTGCCGAAACATTATCGACGCAATGTCTTCAACACATTGCACAAACTTTCTCATCCAGGTGTTCGTGCAACCATCAAGCTTATAGCAGAAAGGTTTTGCTGGCCTGGAATGAATAAAGACGTGAGGGAGTGGGCACGCTCCTGTGTAAGCTGCCAAAAATCTAAGGTTATCAGACACAATAAATGTCCCTTAGGCTCGTTCAAAACTCCCGATGCTCGTTTCGACCATGTTCATCTGGATTTGGTAGGACCTTTACCAGATTCAAATGGATACTCTTATCTCTTAACCTGCGTAGACCGTTTCACTCGATGGCCAGAAGCAGTACCTATCAAGGACATCACTGCTGAAACAATGGCTCGCGCCTCCGTCGAGCGATGGGTAGCAAACTTCGGCTGCCCTTCAACCATCACTACAGACCGCGGACGTCAGTTTGAATCCGATCTTTTCCGTCGTCTGACCACACTTTTAGGAATCACTCGCTTCCGAACGACCGCCTACCATCCACAACCAAACGGGTTGGTAGAACGTTTTCACCGACAACTGAAAGCTTCACTATCAGCTGCAAACGTTTCACAGTGGACCGACGCTCTTCCACTCGTCTTACTAGGTATCCGCAATGCAGTGAAAGCTGACATTGGATACACTGCAGCTCAACTCGTTTATGGAACGACACTTCGACTTCCAGGAGAATTCGTGGATCCTTCATCCTCTTCAATGAACATGGATCTAACCTCCTACACGAACAGGCTTACAAACCCAATGCGTTCAGTTAAACCTGCTTCCACTCGACCTCAATCAACTGATGTTTTCGTTCAACCTGACTTACGATATAGTACACACGTTTTCGTTCGTCGAGACTCGCATCGACGACCATTCGAATCAGCATACGAAGGACCTTTCAAAGTTCTTCAACGTGAATCTAAGTACTATATAGTCGATAAGAACGGAACCAACGATAGCATCAGTATCGATCGCTTAAAAGCAGCGTATTTAGAAGGAAATCCTATCTACGTGGATTTTCCTTCGGTACAATCGAACGACACGACTCCGACACTTATAATACCTCATCCGACAACCAACACTAGAGATGATACTTCGACAGTATCCGAAAATAAACTTAAAACGACGCGTTCTGGAAGAAGGGTGAGATTTCCAGAACATTTAAACGACTATTGCACGTAAGGCACTTCTTGACATTTTATATTATTTTTTTTTAAAAAAATTTTAATATGCTTATATATTTTTATTTCTATTTAAAAAACAACAAAACAAAAAAAAACAATTTTTTCAACGCTATTACGTGTTCATGAGTTTGTTTTCCTTTTTTTTCCCGCCGACATTGTGTTTTTACGCACATACGAGTGTATTTTCGACATGCACTTACATTTTCTTTTTTCTTTTCCAGGACGACTGGAAAAGAACGATGACGTTTATGAGGATCCGAAATTTTCCATGTACATTTTCTTTTTTTACTATGTTGTACCTCCGTCCCATATAGTAAGGAAAGACGACCAGACGCTGCTAAATTTAGTAAGCTATCAGAAGAGTGTTTAACAACGACAAACTCGTTGGGTTTAAACTTCTGGCTGGCTACGTCTTAGGGTCGTCACTGCCCCACTAGGGTGGGAGTGATCTGTAGCGGTAAATAAATCCCCAAAATAAATAGCTCTGTAAGTTTTCGACATTGGATGCTGACCATATGTTTTAGTGGACTCATCTAGCTGAAGGCGCTCGGTCAGGCATCCGCACCAGATCACGTGTGGTAACGCCGTGCTCAACATCAACCGCGATCGCTAGCCAGATTAGATCAGAGAATTCCGATATATTGGTCATCGCCAAATATACTCTTCCGATCTCTTCGACTCTGTCTTTTGATTTCTCTGGGCGGGAACGAAATATATTAGAAGGTGTTACTGGTAGAAGCGTTGTCAAACACTGAATACTTGTGACATCATCAACCCCAAGGAACCATCTTAGGTTCATTACTTTCCCTTTTCTACGTAAATTAATTACCGCTGTTGCTTAACTCGTCGACATTATTGTTTACGGATGATGTCAAAATCTGGATGACAGTAAGAAGCAAGGCTGATCATTCTGATCTCCAAGCTGATCTAGGATAATTAATTAGATGATCTCAATGGTGGGGCTTAGCAGCCGACTATATAAAGTGTGCTCATGCACATCGGACACAGTGACATTTACCAGTATACTATAGACGGAAAATCTCTTATATGCGTGCAGGAACAATAAGATTTAGAGTTAATAGTTAATCACGACTTGAAAACAAGACAGAATCTGCCAAAGGATTTCGTGCTTTATGGTCACTTCACTGAGCATTCAAGTGCATCGACGAGATGTTTCAAATTTAATTTACTACCTATGTAATACCACACTTAAAGTACAATATCCAAGCAGACAGTCCATGTTCAGATGGTAATATCAACTTATTTGAGCTTGTTCATTGTGAGTGAACAAACTAGCCAAGGTTCTCACCAAACTCCTTTACGACGAGCGCCTAAAACACCTAAAGGTTTTCTCCTTGTCGTATGGTAGAACGCGAGGTGACCTTATATTGGCATTTCGTATCTTTAATTACGATTTGGGTGCTAACATGTCATATCTTTCTGCTCCCTCAGTAGTAATAATTTTCGAGGTCAGAGCAAGTAGTTTCGAAAATTGCGATCTAACAAACTTAAAGTGAGGTTCTATTCTTCTCATTGAGCGGTCAATGACCGGACTTCCAACCCGAAAAAGTGGTATCAGCCCCATTAGTGAACACTTTGAATGAGAAACTGGACCATCACTGGAGCACTAACTATAAAGATTAACATATATCCATCAACCTAAATTCCTTGTGAATGGAGACTATAGTTAATTACTGTACACGTTGAAAGAAGAGAGTGGATGGCGTAAGTAAAAGAACACTTAGCAGATCAGTATAGACCAGAAGCATACAGTTATGTGACAAGTTAGATGCCTGAAAATTGGAGCATATATGCGAAGGTATAACCAAGTATACAATACCACAAAAACTAAAGAACATATAGTATTTTAAGATCATAAATTTCTTTGATTTTGTTGTCATTGTTGTCATCCATTCGGGCTGAATTCAAGGAGCCTAAAAGTATCCTGAAACTAAGGAGTAAAAGCAAATAAATTGAATTTTTTAAAGCGAGCTCCCCACAAGGAAATTGGACATAGGATAGTTGTGCCGTATTGGAAGTTGGTGCTACCCAGTCCGTACGATAGGGATGGAAAAGATTGCAATTCTAGATGCAGGTGCGCAATACGGAAAGGTATAGGATATTCAGTGTAATTTATTCTTATCAAATCTTGCTAGGTTATCGACCGACGCGTTCGGGAGCTCTCTGTTTTTACCGAGATGTTGCCCATCAACACTCCTCTCGAAACGCTTATGAAAGCTGATTACAAGTAGTGTCTTACCATATTCCTTCTATTGCTATGTAGGGCTTTCATAATCTCAGGCAGCCCTGATTCAGTCTACCAGTCTATGAGTTGCACATGTGATCCCAAACTTTTTGACGCAAACATTCCTATTTTGGGGATTTGTTATGGAATGCAAGTATGTTGGCAGATGTTTTGTTCCTATAGAGTCTAGCTTATCAACAAAGTCTTTGGTGGCCAAGTGATGGAGGGCGACACTCGGCAAGATGGAATATTTCAAATTGACTGTGACACAACTTCTCCATTATTTGAGTAAATCAATCCCCAATAATGTGTAATAAGTTTATAGAGGATTGTCAAAACAGGAGCATGTATTGTTCACCCATGGAGATCACTGCATCACTGCTGCAACAGGATTTAAAGTTATAGCCAAGTCTAGTTCCAACATAGCTGGTTAGTTTGTTTCATTTGTATTTACTTACCGTTCAGGTATCGCAAATGATGACAAACGACTTTACGGAGTTCAGTTTCATCCTGAGGTGGATCTCAGTACATGCGGCTTAAGGATTCTAAGGAATTTTTTGTTCAATATATGTAACCTGAAGGGAGATTTTAAAATGAGTGATAGAGTAGAATTGTGCATTTCCAAAATACGTGAAGCTGTCGGTCAAAATAAAATTTTGGTAAGTTATTCCAAAAATCAGGTCCTCAAGATTCCTGATTTATTTGTGGTAACATCTGAACATATGAGTTCCCAATGTGATCGTTTTCGCACATACTCCTATAATCACTTCTTTGTTGGCCCATATCGTTTGTGTAATATGCACATCGTGTTTTATAAGCAAATGCCTTCATTGGGTTGTTACTCCAAACTAATTTGCTACTTCGGTTAGATTATGTAAGCTGAAAATTTTACTCGTTGTTTAAGGAATGTCGCTTAGTTTTCTTACAAAATAGGAATTAGGTCAAGTGATTGTTAGTATTAATATAGGAATTAGTAGTCAAATGGTAGATGCAACTCCGTAAAGTATAATTTCCATATTCTTAGTAATTCTATTGTTTCATGCGAGTGCATGTCACTCGTTGATTATTGTCGGATTAAGGTATGGTTCACAACTACACCGTCATTGATTGTTAGCCTGGCACGTGTTGGCAGATGTAAACGTCATTGTTAAGCTCGGCACAGCAATTATATTCAGCATTTAAAGACCATTGTTAATGTCGGTCAAGATGGATCACAGTGGAGATCTGTGTATTTTTAACCCCCAAACCTTTTCAATACAATTTCACGCTTTTTATTTCTATATCTCGTCTATCCTTTTTGAGTTTTACTCTCTGTTTAGTTTTACTGAATCCGATATTATTGAATACTACTACATATCTTGCGACACAAAGTTACCCGGATGCGTCGAGTTTTCTGACATTGTATGGATTATGTTCAAAAAACAGTTGTCTCAGTTCCTCTCACTTTAATAGAGTGAAATTCGTCGCAAGACTTTATTTATTTATTTAAAACAAATTTTGGTGCAAGGCGTCAAATACATATGCGCCACACTTCATCACTCGATTTATGTGAGGGCTTGGATACTGGCCGGGCGCCCAAACAGAAGTAGTTCGTTTTCTTAGCGGCCACTCCCTAAGCCTTTGATCTAGATGTCCAATCCACGGTGCAGTAAAGCAATGCCAAATGCAGCCCCATGGTAGCCGGTGACCAGCAATAGGTTCATACGCCATTTGTCCCCTCAGAATCCTGAAACCCATGTATACCGTTGGTTTGGAATCAGGGTTTTCCAACTCTCTTAAGTAACACCGGACATTCGCTTTTCGCGGCTGTATACGTGTGGCCGTGTGAGAGCATTTGGAGAAAGGGCGGACTCTCCCCACCCCCGACCGTACCAGGGCATTTGGGGGCCTAATTGTCATATAGGAAAGGTTTACATGACCTCTTGTCACACTAAAAGTGGTTCGTATATTCAAGGTAGGAGTCCAGTAATGTTTTCATTATTGTATACAAACTAGGTAGAAGCGTTTAAGCATACTTTCAACTAGCTGGCTGTTGTACTTCAATGTTTTTTCAACCTTACCTAGATAATCCTGATATTTGTTTTAGATTTTACTGAGTGGTGGTGTCGACTCCACTGTATGTGCAGCCTTGCTATCAAAAACTTTGGATCCATCTCAAATTATTGCTGTTCACATTGACAATGGTTTCCTAAGAAAAAACGAATCTTTAAGAGTGATAGAATCATTAAAGTCATTGGGAATTAAAGGTAATTACATTCTTTTGCATTATCTTACTTTACCCAGTTCATCTGATCAATGCAGGTCTTCGATTCCTATCAGGGACTACAATGCTACACGTCGATGTAATGACGGAGGCTTTGGCACCTGCTTCCGTCAGTCCTGCTAAAGCACAGTCTGATTCTGGTAATTGAAATAAACAGGATTTCTGATTATTATTTCTAGGAATAAGCTCAGGAACATCGGACGAGACATCAGATCCAAATACCAAAGAGTGCAGATCGACGTTAGATTCAATGACATACTCTCAAACTACGGATACATCTAACACTAAAAGACAGTCACATGTCAGTGGTGGTGGAATTCATCCACATATAGAATCAAGAAACATTCCTATTGGACCTCTTAGAACAGTTACTATTTTTCCTGAAGATAAACGACAAATTATTGGTGATACTTTTGTGCGTGTTGCCCAAGAAGTATGGACTGAACTTCAGTTAGATCCTAGTAGTTTAATGCTCTGCCAAGGTATACAGCTATTTTTTCATTTTTGTCGTCCGTAAAATTTTTAATGATGTCCATGAAAACGATTGTGATTCTATGACAGCTGTTGTTACTGTTGATTGTTATGCATGTTTGATGGTACCTTACCTATCAAATTTTTTCTACCGTAGGTAATATATACTGGACTTCTCTAAACAGTAGTAGTGCGGTATGCGCATGGACTAACTCATGTCTCTGTACCTAGTCTAGTTTGATCATATAGATGAAATGTGTGGATAAAATTTATCAGAAAATCAGGAAATTTCGCGGGCGACATTAATTTTCATGACATTGGATGAACTTCCCAATACCTAGCTTACATAAATGAGAGTTTGGATAATGAAGTAAAATACGTCTGTCTTATCTCCTCAATAGCCTTCAATCGGTTAGTTGAATAATACCATAAAGTAACAAAATGTGGCTGTAGCAGAGAGCCCTGTTGAAATCAAGTCATGTTCAAAAGGATGATAGTTTCTTCAGTCTGGGCACCCGGGCAGTATCACAGCCCACACACAAATCAATTGACTTGTGTGGCGCATATATATTTGGTTCCCCTTTGTACCAATATTTATGTGTTCAAATGAATAAATATTAAAGTTTTTTAAAGCAACAGTTAACTCACACATTTCAAGATAACCGCCGTTCGATGAATGTTAGGTTGGTGTTACGAGATAAATGCTTGTAAACAGAATATACTTATTAAGACATTAAATAAGAATGATTAGTTCAGCGAAGAGTTCTCTTTTCGGCGAATTCCATAAATGCTTGTGACAAAAATCCAAAGCTAAACAACTGTCTGAACGTTCGTCTGCTTCACGCCTCATTTCTAAACCAGTTGTCACTAACAACCTGTCCTTAAACATTATATTGCATTTGATAGATCAGAACACGTAACTAACTTTTATTCGTGATTTGTATTACGTCGGTGTTTTCGCTTATTATTATTTGCTAACTGTTAATAGACTAGATCTCTGGTTGATATCTTTTTCAGCAAATTAGAGATAAATACATATCTCGATTATCGTCTCTATTAAAATTTTAGATAGTGATGATGAGCATTTTTCGATTTACTTCACTCATCATCGCTTCAGATAACAATTTTCCACGTGGTCCAAAAGATTCAAGCAGCAATATATATATATATATATATATATTCATTTATACAAATTTCTCACACATTGGACTATTACATAATATTATTTGCTGTCAATTTAATTTTTCTCTACTTGGTGTTTGTTTGTATTGCTTTTTAGTCAAATGGTTCCAACAAATAGTGTATTTTTATTATTTTACTAGGAACATTGAGGCCTGATCTAATCGAATCTGCATCTCATTTAGCTAGTCAACGAGCAGATACAATTAAGACTCATCATAATACAACCACACTGGTCCAGATTTTGCAGAAGCAGGTTGGTAAACGCGAAAATTTTAATTATTATGACAAAAAGCTTTTTCTTGTCCACAAATGTGTTTATGGTTTAAATTTATTATTAGTTTATGGATGGAGGATATATATATATATATATATATATATATATATATATATTTCAAGACGAAATAGAAAATAAATTCTATGTTGGCGTCTCAGAATTACACGAAATTTTTAGTAACCATATTTTGTGAAAATGATGGTTAAAAGCTTCATTTAACTTTCTGATCATCTGATGAGACTTCAAGGGGGAGAAATGTATATATTCATGGCTTTGATATTAATATTTTGATGACATATGCATTCATTCTAACTTGTATGGCGGAATTCACGCTTCAGGAAATTAGCTTTTCCCCCTTATTATTTAAATATATCATTAATTATATGAGTAGGGATCCTGGGTCATTGTAGTTATGGAAAAAGGATCTGCAGATTAATAATATGATTTGTAAGATGCATATATGAATTTTTTGAAAGGTTAAATCTATTCCGTACTTGCAAACTAATTCATGGTGTGTGTGAAGTGAAATAATTCAAAGTGGTTCCTTGTATACATTGAGGTTCCTGTAAGACTAAACCGTTTTGATTACCTTAAATGAAACTGCGAGATGTATAGCAGTTGTTTTGTCCGACACTTACTGCTGATAGCCTCTTCAGAACATATGAGATGTTGTTATACTATAGTCAAAGGCTAAAGCATTAGTAGTAACAGTAATATACAAAAATAGGTCTTGACGTTTTGATGAAAATTTCGACTACGGTACAAGTCTCAGTTTACAAATATGTGGTATAAAAATTACTAGGCAGTCTGATTTTAGTTACAAAAATCTTGACATGAATTACTGTAATTAGCTGCAGTCCTATACTTCTTGACAGTTCGAATACATTTAAAAATACTAACCTTTGAATTGTGTAGAATAAACTATCTATATACTGTATTATTTATTTATTTATTTGAACACATAATTATTGGTACAAGGGGGCACCAGATGTATATGCGCCACATAAAACAGTGAGAATAGGGAGAGCGAACAGAAGGTAAGGTGCGTGTGAAAAAAAGAGAAGAAAAGAAAAGATTATTGTAAGGTAGTGTAGTGATAATAATAATAATAATAACGGAAAGGTACAACCAGAAGAATCCTTTCAGTTAAGGAAGATCCAACCACTTTTTATGAAGAAAGTAAAAGAAGGTTACAGCAGGATCGCCACTCGCTTCTATTCTGAGCCATATCGGACAACGCCTCTAGCTACTGTGTTGCACCATCTCTCGAACCCCAGCCAGGGAGTCGTGAAGGGCCAACACAAGCTAGCCCTTTTCAGCTTTCTTTCATACCACGACACCATGTCATGTACTGACCACCTCTCCGCTTTTTTCAACCAATCCCAGAGTCAGCAAGTAATGCACGGCGTGGAATTCTCTGGGACGACATTCGTAGAACATGTCCAAGCCACCGAAGTCGTCTCTGTGCCCGAACACACAATGCTGAACCTCTGCATTACTAACATGGTGTTGCCACTGGATGTCAGCAATCCGTCGGAGACAACGACGATCAAACACAGAGTCGTCTAACATCCTCAACTCGGAGAGGCCAGGTTTGACAAGCATGGAGCAGAACTGCTCTCACTGATGCGTTGTAGAACCGACCTTCTACAGCCAGACTGACATCACGAAGGCGCCAAAGATGGTCCAGATTGGCATAAGCCGCTCTGGCTTTCATTATACGTGCATTGATCTCATCACTCACGCCAATACCAGCACTTCTGCAACTACCTAGATACACGAACTTCTCTACTACTTCTATCCTCTCACCATTCAGGGTGAGTACAGGATTAGAATCCTGCTAGTCTTGTAGAAGTACTTTGCACTTCGAGGGTGCAAGCACATACCATACCTACGGACACTGATTGCCAACTGATTAAGTGCGGATTGCATGCCTTGGGCATTATCGCACAGTAAGACAATATCGTCCGCATACTCAAGGTCGAGAAGTCTTTCTCCAGGCAACAGATCCACACCGCCATTACTTACATCCATCAGAGCTGTTTCCAGAATGTCATCGATGGCAGAGTTGAAGAGGAATGGTGAGATTGGGCATCCCTGCTTAACCCCACTGCTCGAATGGAACAATGGAGAGAGGTGGTTGTATGCCCTTACTCTGCCTGAGGTGTTTGTATATAGGGCTTTTAGGATGTTAATAAACTTCTCAGGCACACCCTTCTTCAATAGACAATTTCAGAGAACAGTCCTGTCCAACGAATCGAAGGCAGCCCTGATGTCAAGAAACACTACGATTGTTGGCCTTTGATAAGTATGGCGGTGTTCTAACATTTGGCGGAGGGTGAAGATATGATCAATACATCCTCGACCAGAACGAAACCCAGCCTGCTCCTCGCGAGTCAATCTTTCTCGGGTTTTGAACAACCTACGAAGTATGACGGAAGCCAATAGCTTGGACGCAATCGGAAGTAGACTTATCCCCCGATAGTTGTTACAGGAACGACGTGAACCCTTTTTAAAGATAGGGACAACTGTCGATTCATTCCATGACGTTGGTACACTCTCTAGTTCCCGAACTTTTGTAAACAACGTCGTCAATTCCTTAGTCAGAAAGTCACCACCATGTTTAAAAAGAGCCGGAGGTAAGTCATCTGGGCCAGGTGATTTGTAACGCTTCAAGAGTTGGAGGTTCCTTGCGGACTTCCGCCTCATTTGTTGGATCAGTTGTCACCGGCCATGGAGGACAGGACAGTCTGACCGATGTTGCCGGAGCAGCAGGCCAGTTGAACTGCCCTTCGAAAAATTCTGCCCATCGTCCAAGACGTCGATGGATGTTAGTGATTGGCATCCCATCATCCTCGCAGATTGTTTCACTCAAACCAGACTTCTTGCTGCCAGTGGCTCGGATGAGTTGGAAGAGCTTCCGGTAGTTACCAGATGCAGCTGCTGCTTCCAGCTCATTAGCACGCTTCGACCACCAGGCTTCTCGGTCCTTACACAAGCTTTGCCCAATTTCCTTACGTAACATCCTTCGTTTATGGTCAAACTCACGGTCACCCGGAGTAGACCGACGGGCTTCAATGAGGTGTAAGGAACCTGAAGAAACCCAGTGCTTATAAGCGGGACGTTTCGCGCAGCCGAAAGCGGCTTCATTCGCTATTTTCATAGCGTCATGCAGTTGCGACCAATGCTCATCTATACTTTTTGGTGGAATGGTAGCTAATCTAAAAGCTAGCTCGGTTCGATACTTATTAGCAACAGAAGTTGCAACCGATTTGCTGACATCAATTTTTTGGTGACGATCACTTCGCTGGCCACTGAAAAGTAAGGTAAGATTGGCGCAGACCAGGGCATGATCAGAGCCCAGATAGGTACTCCGAAAGGAGCGGCAGTCTTGTACACAACCACGCCAGCGGTAGCTGATCGCGATGTGATCAATCTGAGTCCAGGCTTGAGATGCAGAGGGAGGACGCCAGGTGGCACATCGGCGACGACTATGCCGGAAGTTAGTGTTAGCCAGAAACAGGTTGTGTTCTGTGCACAGTTGCAGTAGACGGTCCCCGTTACCTGTCTTACGACCAACAATTCTCCATCGGCCACCTCAACGATTCTCTCCTGTGCTTAGACGCCCGACCTGAGCATTCAAGTCTCCGGCTAGTACTACAATATCTGTCGAACGCACTTTCTGGAGAAGAAAAGATAACTGGTGGTAGAATTCATCTTTGATTGCATCCGGGCCGCATTCTGTCGGGGCATAGGCAGAGATGACGAAAAGACATCGTTTCTCACGACGATTTATTTTCACTTTGATGGAACTTTCTAATCTAACAGCACATAACCGACTGTTAGTGGGGATCCAATCGACTAGTGGTACCCCAGCTCTAGTTCTTAGTGCGGCACCAACGCCAGCAAGACCAGACGAAGATTACACAAGGTCTTCGGCTAAACACACGTAGAACAAGATTTTTGAAGCGACAGATGGAGGGCGAATTTGTAGTACTTCACCAGAGTCTTGAATCCGGATCTCATATAGACAACAGACGTCGATATTAAGACTTCCCAAAGACATAACCAGCCCTATCTGTTGTCCGACCTGTATAAGTGTGCGGATGTTGAAGACAGCCAGTTTGAATGGTGTACGTGGTTTCAGAAAAGCTCTTTCAGTATTCGTATTTGGTGTTGGCACTCAACTTTCAACCAGTCAGCGACTCGAGATCGTTTAGATAGAAACGAGTTTCCATCATAGGCGAGCTGCTGTATAAGTTGAGAAATAAGGATGCACAAAGTGGAAATTAATGAGAGTGCATAAGTGACGTAGTAAACAATAATAATAATGCGAATTGTTTGACTGTTAATCGAAGCGAGAATAGTATTTTTAGCAAATATCGTCATTTCATTCTATTTGTATTTGGGCTGTGATACTGCCCGGGTGCCCGAACCGAGGCAGGTGGTTTTCTTAGGGGGTCACACCGAGCCTTTGACCTAAAGGTCTGACCCACAAGGCAGTGGAGCATCGTGAGGAGATGCGGTCCCATGGTAGCCGGTGACCAACAATTGGGTCGTACGCCATTTATTCCCTCAGGTTACTGGAGCCCATGTGCACCATTGGTTTAGGTTCCGTTTAAAGCGCCAGACATTCGCTTTTCGTCCTCTCAATTTCGTAAACAACACCCCCTCCAGGAGAAGTGAGTAGGACTTCCCTGGTAGAAGCTGTGTACGCGTAGCCGTGTGAGAGTATTTCCAGAGGGAGGGCGAGCCCACCCCACTTTCGGCCGTACCAGGGCATTTGGGGGGTTTTGATTTTCTCATAACGAACTGTTTTCTAAAATTGGCCAGTATATTCAACGCGTGGTAGTATATAATGCTTGAATATGACTACAGAGTGTCGAATTTTTGTTGGGAATACTAAAATAGATGTTAGAAAAAACTACTAAATACTGGCTACTTTTGAATGTTATATCTGTCTATCATTCACCTTTTATTCCTCAACTATAACTTCATAAACATAAAACCTTGTTACTTGTTTTTGAAGGGTCGGGTTGTTGAACCACTTTCGGATTTCCATAAGGATGAAGTTAGACAGATTGGTAGACAACTTGGACTTCCAGAGGCTATTGTCAACCGACATCCTTTTCCTGGTCCAGGTTTAGCAGTTAGAATTTTATGTGCTGCAGAACCATATATTGAACGAGATTTTTCGGAGACAACAAGTCTTATAAAAATGATCTCTGGATATCATCAAATGTCGCAAAAGGTTGGTTTGTTGTGAGATCTTTACCAATCGTCTTTAAAACAATAACATTTATGCCAAGCTTTGTCGCTTATTCGGTAATCACATTTAGCTCCCCAATGTTATACTTTGTGATCTAGTTCTTTTTCCACCGAGATCCAATCTTATTGAAATGTTTCACTTAGTCATCCTGAAATACGTTAGAGGTGTGTTTTGGTACTTACAAACCTAATATGGAGCATTAAAAAGTACGTAGGAGTATATATTGCCTCATTTTTCAGAGTAACAATCAGGACGCATCGGATAATAGGTATCGATTCAGTCGGAAAACAGTGCATACACTTACGAGTGGTTGCTTTCTTGAGTAAAACACGAAAGTAATTTTCAATGCTTCAGTCATTTCACACGTAGCCATCGTAGAAAGACAACAAGGCACATAATGCTCATCACTTGTGTATGAATATATAAGATAAAGCTCCACACCTGAAGTTAACGCTCTCATTCAACCGTCAACAGATATCAGTCAGTAATAACGTAGAACTTCGTACGTACGTACATCGGTTCGCGTTGCCATACCACATTAGCACAGAGATGCAGTCGTCGATTCAAATCCCGTAGTGGTAGAGGTAGTAAGAGTGCAAGCAGTAATCAGGAAGATTAGGGTTTGAAGATGTTATTTAAGGAGTATAATACAGTGAAATCAATTTGGAAGGAGAAAAAAAGAGACACGAAGAATTTAGAAGATTAGAATTTGGGAGAACACAAAGAGTGGATGAACCTGCGCCAGTGCAAACAATTTTGAGCCATGTCATTCAGGATCTTTAACCATCGGTTGCTATCATCTCGCGGTCCCCAACCAGATATGGAACTCAAGAAGTCTATACCACCAGATACCCGACTTTCATAGTGTTAGATTCAACTTTATATCTGCAGTTTAAAAACTAGGACTGAAAAAACTATGATTTTTAATCGATTCTGGTTAACATTTAAATAAATATTGTCAACCTTTACATCATTAGTGATTTCAGTCACATTGACCACAGAAAGAACGCCAGAATTCGTTTAATAGTATTCCTATTACTGGCAAAAAAGTCTTCAGTTATTTTTGGAGTTACGCATATTGTTTATTGGTATTAATCTTTATAAGTACTTGTTTTCATGATTTACTGCATTTAATGTATATCATCATAATTTCAGCTACTTATCATTTTGCTTTCCAACAGCCTCATGCACTTTTAAACAAGATCAATGCTGCTGCTAGACCTGAAGAACAACAACGTTTATCAAAAATTACAGCAAATCGGTCTCTAGCCGCCTATGTTCTACCTATTCGTTCAGTCGGAGTGCAAGTATGATTTTGCTAATCAAATAGAATATATGAATTACATGTTCTATCGTTAGTCTGTTTGTTTTCAAAATGATTAAAATTCACACCCTTAAACTTCTGTAAACTGCGTAATAATTACTCTAATTTTAAGCTTTTTTTTACTATCTTTTCATTTTAATTGTATTTTAGGGTGATCATCGTACTTATAGTTATGCTTGTGCTTTATCTAGTTCAACTGCTCCAGATTGGGATGCTCTTTCGTTTTTAGCTAATTTAATTCCTAGGATATGCCATAATATCAATCGGTAGGTTCATTATTGTTATTCGAAATCTTTGTGACTTGTTATACTGATCAACTCTCCAGTTAGATTCTGTTATATCACTTCCACAGACTGTCCTAGCCAGTTTAGTTTTTCACGTCGATACTTAGTTCATAATATTATAAAAATTATCCGGAAAATGTGTTTGAGTACTTTTTTTCTGTCAACCAAGGGCGTGAAGATAAGTGTACAGAGCGCATACGTTTAAAAACATACTGGTTTATAAATCTGTCACTGATTAAAAACATATCAGGTTTGCATTTCTAGATACACTCTACTGAAGGGTGCTCACTTAGTTTTTAAACCCTTGCTAATTAACTACAGGTACCTAAATTGTTCTATCAACCTTGTTCAATAGAGGAAAAACTAAAGTACATACTGTTATATTTCCATGGTATGTTTTAGTTCGTATGTCGTTTTTGTTATATTAAAGATAGCATAAGACTACGTGCATAAAAAGAGCTACTAGTCCATTGAATTCTAATTAAAGACGAAATGTTCATTCCACTCAATTATAGTTTTACGGACTGTTTATCAAATGTAAGTAGATCTTAGAATTCACAATGAAGTTGGTGTTCTTATTTCCTATATTTATTTCAGCGTAGTATATATATTAGGACCACAAGTTGTTCATCCAGTAAATGATATTACAATTACTTACCTTCGAGAACCTGTTATCGATACTCTCCGAGAAGTCGATGATAGGGTTATGTCAGTACTTCAGAACAATGGTTGTATGAACAACGTTGATCAAATGCCAGTTGTTCTTATACCGATTCATTTTGACCGTGATCCAAGTCAAGTGGTATCTATTCCTTCTATTTTACGGTCAGTTGTACTCAGACCTGTGAAATCAGCTGATTTCATGACTTGTATTGCTGCTGTTCCCGGTGTTCATATTCCAGAAGATGTATGTAATTGTCTACAATATTATTTATTCTATATTTATGTGTTAATTTTATAAATGCATTGTTTTTCTATATGTTTTATGATTGCGCACTTAAATCAATCATAGTTTATCAAGATAGATCCCACTCAATAACTAACTGGTTGGTCAAACTGATGCTAGATAGGCCCAGGTAAAAAATAAGAGAAAAGGTTGAGAACAAACAATATCAATCATTTTCCAACCTCGGCATATTTTTATATCTAAGCTCCAAGTTTCGAACCATGGACCATTACGATTTTTAAGGTGAATCCAAAATACGTTGCTGAAGTGCAACATCCATTCATATGAAACATAAATTTCTAAAGTGTAGTGGAAAGCAGAATGCATCTATAATGTAGTGCATCTACTCAATAAATTCCAAACTATGTGATTACAAACTTACTTATCAAATGATTTTATGCGACGATGAAAAAAGCTGTAACAAATAGAAGTTATAATTAGAAACACTAGAAATTCAAGATGATATCATGCATAAACGATATCATATTGTCACATCGCATACATTTTCGTACAGGGATCGTATAGAGTTTTTTAAAGCTTTTAGATAAGTATGAATTCTGAGAACCTTTATGGACATTGGCAGTTGGGAGAAGATATAAAGAGCGAAAGTATTACACGATACTTTTAACTATGCTTTATAAAAGTGTATTCAGCTGTTTGAGGGTATTTTACGTTATGGTAGTAGGATTGGATAAACCTCAAATGTTTTGATAAATCTCGATTGTGCATATATTTCTGTTGTTTTCTGATTTATCCCACCATTATCATATTTATGACTGGGAAACTAATAGACATTAGCAAAGCTATATAGGCTTACATGTTTTATTGAAAATTATGCCACTGAAGAACGTTCATTTACTCAATAAATCATTTCATTCCATTATGTAACAACGTTTCATCCAATTTGTCTGGAAAAAGCTATGTATAAATTTTAATCTTTGTTAAGTGTCTACTATAAGTAGTATGAAATTATCCTGAAAACATTTATCTTCTTGAAGTGACCAATTAGACTTCAACATAATGCAACTAGATGAATCAATCACTAGATCTTATCTTCTTTGATTTCTACTATATCCATAACGGTTATTGTGACTGAAGCGAGACTTCAAAGTGCTCATGATGAATAAATTATATTTGAAAAAATAACTATCGAATGGAAAATCGACGACATCAGTTAACAATTGAAATCGATGATACATATAGTTGTATCTAAATAAAACCATTTGTTGTGTTGGCCATTTTATCATTACGCTTTAAATGGTAGCTATTGTTTTGAAGTATTATTAGTTTCCAGTTAATTTATCAACATAATCACTATTGTTGTACAATAAGTATTACTAACTGTTAGACCTTTTATGAATACCAACAAGTCAATTTAATTGTGCTTGAGTCAGTATACAACAAACTGTCTCTACTATTTGAGTGAGAAATATTTTTATATTGTTAGTATTTTGCATTTGTGAACGTTAATATTATCTCTATCTAGAAATACTTAGTATTGTTTTATCTTTGTGTATAGGTTGTTTACAAAATGCAGAAAGCAGCTGAAGAAGTACCTGGAATATCTCGAGTTTTATACGATCTTACTTCGAAACCACCAGCAACTATTGAATGGGAGTAATTAGTAATATTATTCTCTTAGTTTATGTGTGTATGTGTCCATTCTGTGTCTTTACAATTTCTTCAAGAGATTATCCTCTAATTTCTTTATATCTGCACAGTTAGCATCATAGTAACAAAGTGAATTTCTCGATCATGCGTTTATGACACTTTTGTTGTTATACAATACATTTTCGTTTGAGCTTATTTCAATTCTCTACCAATAATGAATATAAAAAGTCTTACTGTATAACCTGTTTTTTTGTTCTCGAAAATCCTGCTTTGTTTCTATTCTTCACCCTCTATTCATTAAATGTATAAGATTTGCTGATTGATAAAGTTGACTTGTTTTTTTTTTAAAAAGATATAGGTACCTAAGTTGTTCAGTTGAAGGCTCTTACATTTTGTCATATATCATGTGCATTGTTTTTGTACACATGTATGGATCAGGATCGTTAACACATTAATTACAATTAATATATAAATCAGTATTGCTTTATTCTGGATAATAAAGTAAATTTTATGTGGAAGCTTCCTGTTCAGTGTTTATATTTTGAATTAAGTTATAAGAACGTTATCTAAACGCAAAATGTTTTCTTCAAATAAACCATATATTATGCTCATATTATAATGTAATAATCTTATACTTTATGTGATACTAACAGTTATCAAATTATCTTTTGTAAAAAAACCACATAGTTAAGATAGCCTGGCTGATGACATGTATATAAATTGGTTATATTTAGTGACATCTCAACGATAACAAAGTCACATGAATGCGAAGATAGAAGACAAAACTTCTAGAAACGCTTTTACGTCTCAAGTAAAGAACAACTGAATGAGTAACATAGCATCACATATATAGTATGTTGCATACTGCCATAATCAATAGGAATAGATGTAAACTGCATAAGATAACCGCGTCACTAAAGATTATTGTTGTGGGGACGGTAATAGATTCCAATAATATTGACTTAATCATAACACCTCAAGTATAAGAACTTAACAGTAGTTGAGTTCAAATGGTTTAATATTGAACACAAACAATGGTCATTTAAACTGATATGATGAGCGTTCATGAATAAAACAATGAGAATATAAGACATAAGTAAAGGGGGAATGCAGTAATAATAATAATAATAACATTAATGGTAGGATAATCAAACTAATTAAGGCCAAGGTAACGATAAGACGTACTTCTTTTGTACGCATAGTTCTGGTTTAAGCTCCTGGATGGCAAGAGCTTCGGCTATTTTTAAAAGTTGTATACGAAGAAATCTGGGTAGATTTGAACGAATCATATAAACAACCTTAAAATCAATTTGTGGATCTGTTGAATGGTTATAGTCGATTAGGTGTTCAAGAATAGAACTAACTGCTTTCCTTTCACCCTTATAGAACCAGGCTGGGATATGTTCTCGTATCCGAGTTGAAAGCGAGCGCTGGCTACGGCCAATGTACCTTGCTCCACAAGAGCAGGTGAACTGGTAGATGCACATGGAGGCGACCAGATGCGGAAGCTTATCTTTTATGGATACAGAAAATAAGTTTCTACTAGTGAAGGATATTCGCAGTTTTGCCGCGTTAAATGTTCTTCTAATAGTTGTTGTTAGACGGTCATTTAAGAAAGAAAAAGTTGCCTGAAAATATTTATCATATATCATACTTTCAAAAAAAATCAACCCATCTGTGGGAACGACACTAAAAGAACAGAAGTTAACTAATAAAAACAAACATGTTATCTTGTCGATTTATATGTTATCGTGTCTCAGCAACATAAGTTTCTCACGGTTTATCTTACAGGTTGCTTTCTTAATTAGTAAACTGAATTCAACTGTAGAAATTTAGTGGGTTAAAAATAGGTAGCAATATGAATATAAAGTTTGTTAATTCTTAGTATATTTCAATTAGATGTCCATGGTCATTTGTCAGACAGCGAATGAACTAAATGTGTGTTCGTTTATGGATATGAGAAAAATGAAGTTTTCTGAGTTGAAAGTTTAGTACTCTTAAGAAACATAGTTCGGAAGCATGTCTGATTTTTTTGTTTGAAAGAACTTTACATAAATAACCGTAATTCTATAGTGAAGGACTGAGAGAGTTCCGATTTGTGACATGTGCATGAATTTTACCAAACAAATAAATTTAATTTTGGTGTCTTTTGTACGGATCAGTAGTGATTCCAGAAAACCTTAGTGCGCAGGATTTTTAATAACAGAATATTTGATGTAAGTTATACTTGACACGTTTAGTTGTAATGCGACCAGTTTACTAGGTTACTATAATTGACGCTTTGTCAGTGGATGGTGTTTTACCTAGTTATGAACCTAGTCAAGATCGAAGTTAAATATTGGACAATCATTTGCTATTCTTCCTTCAGACATGAGGTCAATAAATTGTTTCTACCCTATTAGTAAATCAATTTGATTGGTTATGTAACTGTTTAAAGTTTGACCAATTAAAAGCGTCTTTGTTCAGTGTGTGAAATTCATTACATATTTTACAAACCTGAAATAAAGCTTAAAAATATTTATTTACTTGCCCATTGCAGCTGCTATATTAGATATGAATATCCTATTGTGCTTAGTGTAAGTCTTTTTGCTGACAAGTAGAGATTGTATAATCTATGCAAGAGAACATTTCATGTGAATAGTGCTTGGTCCAATTGAATAAAAAATATCATAAACCTAGTCGGTTTTCTAAGTGTATCTTTTAGGAAATAATCTAGTTTGATGGATTATTTGACATTTCTGTTTATTTGAAATACTGTTTAGTTGTGCGCTTAATATTCTCAGTGAAGATTGAATAATATTGTAGTGAAAGATTTGGTGGGGTAAACCAATTTGCTGTATAATGCAAGATTACAGAGTGACTCCATAAAAATATGAAAATCATACAATAAATGCAATGTTTGCATATTTTCCTTTAGTTGTCCTTAAGATGCTTCATGGTTCAATTCTGTTATTAGAATTGGTCTCGATTACTTTTTCTGTTCACTTCGATTCAATCTTCTGCTGTCAGGCATTCCACTTCCGATTAGCTGTACATACTGCAATTGCAAAGTAGTGATTAGCTTTGTTACGTTTACTTATTCTCTGGAAGTTCTAATAAAATAACTGGGCGATAAGGCGATGATTCACAAGTTTATGTTAAACATAACCGATTTGGAATTTGTATGAGTCTTAAATAACTGCTGATTAATTTCTGAGATCGATCGGATTAGCGAAACAAAATTTTACTGCTCCAGTGTACATAGATAACTTTTCTTTTGGAAGATAGTTTGGAAACGTCACCATTAATTTTACGTAGTTGATTATTTTCAAGATTGATTTCGTTTCAGTAGAGGATAATTAAATTGTATGATACAGATCTCATGAACAAACCTAGACTAGTAAAATTTATAACTGTGCAATACTCTCTTCAGTTACTCTATTCTAATGAGTAGCACGAGGGAGTTTGTCGACGACATTATGTCTTCTGCACAGTTAAAGAAAGAAAATGAAAATTCTTAAATATTTATCTTTATAATAAAGAGTATTTTATCTTATTTTGTGTTGTGATAAACAGAACTTAGTTAACTGAATTATTACTTTCAAATATCATTGAGTAGCATATTTTTTAATTAAAGTTTCATAACAAGAAGTAGGATGGGCTACAGTTGTCTGTGGGTTATAATAGAATATTCAAATATATGAATCCATAAGCTGATCATAACTTGGAAAAACGAAACATTTCTAAGTAGTTACAGATCGATTTGTTGGAGAAAAACTACCGTCGTTTATAAGGAAACCTTGTTATAACGATAAACATGTAGGGATTGGCACAGAGTGAGTGGAAAACGACAATTCAAGAATGAATTTCGGACAGGTCGTAATTAATGCATATCAATTTTAGTCCTACGCTAACAAAAGAACTACCTTTTCTTGGTATGTATTCTTGATACTCAAAATAATAACAGGAAGTTTATGTATGATTATTGAGAGTTTAATAGATTACATAGAGCCAGGGGTAGAATAATTATTAAAATAATCGACTTATAATTATTATTCCCCTTGTTCAGATCCTTCAAAACCTACTTTGGTCTGGGCAACTAGATAACACCGCTATTAGTCGAAGAAATAACATGGCTCAAGTTGGAGCGCTTAAAGTTGTACTTGGTAAATAACTTACGATATATTCAAGTGCATGTAATACACATAAGCTAACAGTATTATGCTTTTTTCTATCTGTAGATAGTTTTCAGTAAAATAACTACTGAAAGATAAACGAACAAAAATACTGTCTGCTAAATTTCTCGATGTATGAGTATTTATATGCTAGAAAATCACTGAATAGTTTAGTGGATTCATTTTACTTATGCAATTAATCTGTCAAACGATGTTTAGTTGTTTCATTTGAACTCAACTTCCAAATAATATTATATTAAGTATTTATACAATATATCGTTCCAACTACCATTTCGGGAATGTTCGGTTAATTTGTGCTTAGTACTGAATCTCTGAATTCGACAGCATGTAGTAAGAACTCAGACTGATGATATGATTTTGTTTAGCATCCAAATAAATCAGAATGATAGGTGAATACACCATTTTTTTGGTGTGATTCATTTACAATTATATAGTGTTTATAGACCAATCGATCGATAATGCAACGTGTGAACACAATTACATTATCATACATTTAAGTATCTATGACCAGTACCTAAAATTAGTTGACCAAGTTATATGTTTACTCCTCAAGATGTGGTCAAATGGTATAGATGATTAGAAAATAAATCAGTTTCATATATCATTTGCACTCTAATCGATTCAACTAATGTTTGCCATATCATTAGGGAAGTTAATGGCATCATTGAAATTATTAATAACATGTTATACATGTTTCATTAGTTCCACTATTTTATTGTACATGAAATGTGATTGATATAGATTTGATATACCAAATACTAAATAATCACATGTTTAATTATGTATAATTATAAAATTAGTAATTAATGTTTTAGATAAATAGTGATTTAAACAGTCAAGGTTATGAAAATTTTGTTTATCACCCATTTATATTTATATAGTCTTTTGATCAACAGCAACTACCATTCTTTTCGATTTAGAAATATTCGAGAAATGATAAGTCACAAATAATTACAAAGTTTCGTAACTGTTAATATATCATCTTTTAATAGATTTTCAACGCTTATAAATGTTGAAATAAATGTTATTTGGATTGATATAATGTCAGACTACTCTTGGAAACCTGGAAGTACTGGACGGCTATTTCGTCCTAATATACGGCTCCCCAACAGTGCTCATCCACGATCCCGCCTCGCGAGATTCGAACC